TATGTTGACTTAAGGAGACTTCATGTATTTAGGTATTATCATACCCTCACAAATATTATCTAAAAGAGTATCTTATGAAATATTTTAATAAAATTTATCAACAGTAAAATGTCATTGGTTCCATTATTATATATGCGCCATTTGCTTTTAAGGCAATATATTTCCATATTTAATTCATACAAGCATTTTTGAAGTATGCTTTTTTAGAATTCAAATAATATTTTTTGGCCTCGGTACTTTATGTAAAAATGTAGTTTCGAAAAAATATTTTTAACATTATTTTTAGTATATCCATACAGTACATACTTGCAGTAAGCATTTTATCTTCAACAACTTTAGAAAGAGCGCAATGTACAAAGTACTATTTTTACTTCCATAAACTAGTTATTTACTATAACTACTTATTGCCAAAGAATGCAAAAGATATAAAGTTGGTTGTTCTGAAACATTATCATACCGCGCCACAATTATATTCTTAATTGCACGTGTTATAATTTTTATTCCTCAATGTATAACTTTTTTTTTTAATTTGTAACTTTATTTTCTGATTTCACATACAAACATTATAACATTTCTTGAAATTCACAAAGACATACAATAGTGTATAAATTCATATCAGTTCACAAAGACATTACATATCATATTTTCTAAATTCATATAAACAAACCATTAGACACTTTCAGAAACTTATTTATAATTTATAGTTAATATTTGAGCTATTCTCTATTTTACCATATATGAGATTTTTTTTTGAGCTCGTATAATCAAAAATGATCTTACACTGAACTAAACAAATATCCTCTATATAATATTCTTAGTCATTATAAAAGACATTAAACAAAAGTTGATATTTGGATATATATCGATTACTTATAAAGAACTAAGAAAACAAAGATGGCTAGAGAGAATATTACATCCATTTACTGGAAAAGAAAAAAACACAACAACAATGATATGTCTTCTGAACAGTCATGAATAATGACTAATTATTAATTATTTTATTCAATGATTGTATGTATTTATTGTTTTTTATCATATATAAATAAAATGTACATGTTATTATTATTTTTAGAATTGAAAGTTTATGTATAGTTATATTAATAATAGATCTTATTAATAAATAAATTTGAGAAATGATCTGTGTTAATTAATTATTGTTACCAAACTAAGTGACAAACATTCAATTTCGGAGGAAAAAAACTTATTTATTTGTCACGATATCAAATAAAATATCTACTCCTAAACCGGGAGAGACCGGACAATAAACGTGTGATACTATTCGCCGGTCTCTAGTAAAATCCGGTCAAAATAGACCGGGAGAGACCGGGATTTACCGATAGGAGACCGGAGAATAGTACATCCCCATTCGGAACTGCCTCGGCTATTATCTATTATATTAACCTCGGAAACAATACGGATTGAAAGTAGTTCTACCACGTACAGATGTAAACAAAAACAGAGATAATGTAAAACGAATGTATTTTTGACATCTAATGTCTGTTCCGGTACTCTTATGCTTGAAAATATGTCTGACAACAATTTGTAATTTAAATATGCTCACTGATGTTCAATTTTAAATAAATCCGACCAAATGTCAACAGGTTGGTTTTTTGTACTTTCGGTTTCTACAGCCATATTAGTAAATATATAAATAATGTATTGTTTGCTTTTGTACCTATGAATTCACTTATTTTAGATGGACTTTTACTACATATATTGAAAATAAACGTGTCAACAACTACCAGCATTAAATTACTATTTGTTTACACATTTAGTTACTTAGCGTAGGTTAGATCCGTTCTGTGTATTCATACTATTGTGTTCGATGTCCTTATCCGAAGACTGACGGAAAGGGCCGAGTAGTTGCGATTGTCGTGACTGGTGTGTATACAGTATACAATGGTACAAGAGCGAAACACGGCCGATATATATAGCAGACGGTTAATTTTGCGTTGATAGCTTGATAATAATTGGGTTAAATAGCACGTATTTTAATTGTAATGGAAATCTGATATAATTAGTTAAAAAGTACTTTGAAATAAAATTTAAAAAAGTTTGAATTCTATTTCACTTTTATTACGTTTAAAGATACCTATATAAATGTATTATGTGTACAGACGATAAAACGAATATACTCATACACATGTATATATGTATAACATACCACAACTTTCTTCTTTATTTACATTTCTATTTTATACGATAATTCATGTTTGTTACTCCACGATCCTTTAAAATATAACTTTCTACGTATTATTTATTGTAATAATCGTAAGGGTAGTTAGACTTTTTACGACTTTAAGACACATCAATATTAAAGTCGGAAAGTGTCATAATATAAGTGTTTATAAGGAATTCAGTCCACACTTAATAGTTGACAAAAAGCGTTTACCGTTTGCAAAGATTTTACTACTTATTCGGTTATTTTGGCCGAATATTCAATTTAGATAGAAATTCGTCAACAAGAAGCATCGTTATCATCTTAATTCAGGCAAAGTGTCATATCCGATTTTATGAAGAATTTTGCGATATTTTAAAGTGTGCTATATTTTTAGTAACAGATCGATATTGCATGTAAACGGCGGACCTAGGTAGAGTAGGACTCATTGCAGTGTGAAAATTAATATCAATCTATTTTGATTCCGTGTACAATTTAATAGATTAGCTCACATATTTTTAATACATTTTGACCTTACGACGTTTCATTTTTGTTAAAATATGAGTGAATTCCGTATTTGTAGGAATACGGTTTTAAGAAGTGCTGCACTTTGAGTGTCAGATAAGCCCATGTGCCAACACCGCTATTTTTAGTAACATTTACGGATGTTTCTGGAAAGATATATGTATTATGACTCTCAACTGTTAGGATTTCAACTATACAAGAAAACAGTAGTATTGTTTCTAAGGTTATATTGAATAATAGATAATAGCCGAGGACGTTCCGATTCTTAACTGTTAGGATATGGATTTAATAACACAGACGTTTTAAAGGTGTTGAAAACTTTTGATATTTTTCTATCATGATTGTAATTCTTTCTTGTTTGTGTGTATGAAATGAGCAGTATTTTTCGGGTTTTACCAGAAACTAAACATATAATGGTAGCTTTGCATGTATTTGTGACTCTCTGGATAGAGGTGAAAAAGTTAAAAATCAAGCATTGACAGTTGGTGCTAAACAAGTTAAAAACTTTGGATAAATTTTGTGAAAAGTCTGAACGTATGATAGCCACATTTATTGGACATTTTTGAAAATGCCATTGATTTCACTCATTGAGTAATTGTTTATGTTGAGATTGGCTTCCTGGGTCACATAAATGTTGTTCCGCAGTATGCACTGATGGCAAATATTGGTCCAGGAGATGAACTTGATTTCTCCCCTGAGTTAAATATACTAGGAGATAAGATATATCCGAACAGGTATCCGATCATTACAGGATATACGTCTGCCAAACTGTCGGGAAAACGAAGCCAAGAGTTACAAAAATGTAGAAAATATAATAGGTATGTAAAATCGTACAGGGTGTCTGTGGAACATGCAATTACCTAACTCAAGTCTTACCGTGCTATAAGCTCGGTGTGGAGATATTCATGAAAATTGTCAAGTAACACTGTAATGATATGAGCCGGACTTGCTTGCGAAGGAACCAAAATGGTTTGAACTATCAACAAATTTTGGAAACTAGTTATTATCATTTACTTACCCTTAAACTTTAATATATAGTATTATTATTTTGAGAAAATCCCTGAAAATTAATCAGTCCATCGTGGGGGTAAATATGAATTGATGTCAGTCATTAATTATTGGGCCATTGCATGCAAACTATTATTTTCTCCAATGTATGTCATATACCCTTGAATAATGTTGTTCAACTGATTATCTGCCCGTGTAAAAGAATTTGAAATATTTGGAATTGTGTTTCTGGCCATATCGAACTACAATATTGCTCATTTTTAGTTCCCTGTGCCACTACAACAGCAGAGATAGACATAGTTTCAATAGGGTGTGGGTTCATACCACAGAAGTTGCATTTTTTCTTTCATTTTTTTTTCTTTCTACTTTTCGTTTGTCAAATTATGACTTTTATTCTTAATTTATATTTAAAATTTGTAATTTTAAAAAGTTGAAGTTTTATGTATATTTTTGCTGTAAATATTGTGAAATTGGATAGCAAAACGAATTAAAATGATTATGATTTAAAATCAGCATGGAAAACTTTCTTTATATTTTGCACAAATGATAAGAATAGCTTCTAGATAATCATTATTAAAAGTGATTTGATGCCCCAATTACATTTGCAAAATCTGGCGGGTTTTCTTACCCTACCCTCTTCTTATTTAATCTAAAATGACAGTTACCTGTCTCAATAAACAAAAACAAAAAAAACTTTTTATATACATTTTACATTGATTCATTTGAAGTTATTCAAAAACTATATTTTTTATTATCACTTTTCAATTAAGGGAACGTGAAATTAGTGAAACATTTCTACAGATAATGAAAATATAATTGGTGTTATTGTTGTATAAAACCCGATACAAAAAGTTTAACTTTAATTGTCAATATTTTTCAAACAAGATAGTAAACTTCTGTATTTTTTTCTATTTATGTCCAGAATAAAATAAAAGTTAACAATATAAAATTTTTAAAGGCCTTTTGAAAAAGAAATGTTTATTTAATCAACTTAAGCACGGTCCGTATGTATTATAAATAGATATATTCATAAATTCATTTTGATTTCTATCTGTTTTTCATACTATAAAATGTTTTCTGATAATAGGTGTTCTGTCTTAGTTTTTAAGTTTTGACTGTTAATTTTGATTTTTTTTACTTTGTAAATTGCAGATTAAAATGATGCGCTGAAGAAAGTAATATGTTTAATGATAGTTATTGATAAACTGAATTGTATGAATATTTAGTATGTTTCTAACTTATATGTTAAAATTGTGATTACCATTTAATCATTTCTTTTACATGTTATATGTTCTTCGATTGATATGTGTTTTAAAGTTAGATGGCCGCATTGTAAATAAGGTGTTACAATCTGTATATGTCTTAATGTGTTACCTTTTGTAAATAAAGTTAGTATTATTATCATTAAAATGCTATCATTTTTATTTTCAAAAACTCCTTCAATCTCTAAAGAAAGTCCAAAACGGCAAAATTGAAAATGCTGAAGGCTTGGTTTGATTGAGCCTGTTCATGATAGTACTGGAAAGTGCAAGCTCCTGTTCACTCCCCTAGCACCGGCTTAAGCAGTATTCAACATTAAAACATGTAATGGTAAAATTTTGAATAAAGATACATCCGCAGATGTGTTCATACGGCGGTGATCTCGGAACCTTCAATGTGACACGTAAGGCGTTAGTGCCATTCCAAGAAAAGCGGCACAGGTAAAAAAAATGATTGTGCCCTAAACGAGAAAACAATGGGAGGAACTAAACAAAATGGAATTTTGAAAAGGGATCAGAGGTTATGAAAGCCTGTATATCACAGATAAGCGGTCAAAAGACCAATTTAAAAAGCAGGCCACATATATCATAAGGGTGATTATACAGTTTTCAAGTAAAAAAAATGGAACCACCCAAGTAGAAAGAACTGAAATAACACACACACACACCAATAATGTCGAGTTAAACTTTCGGAAATATAACATCCCTGATTGTATGTACAGGGCGACTTATGTTTACAATTGGTACTTTTACCAGAAAGCAAAAGAAAAAAATATCATTAAGTGCCTTTAAACAAATAGGTTAGTTTTAATAAGTAATTAGACAAATTATGAATACATAATTAAGATTGGATTAGATTCAACAAATTATTTATATACATATATTTATTATTTGATATATACAGCTACAGTCTCACTTAAATCCCGGCAGAGCCGCGGTAGACGTACGGGGAAGAACGGGGTACAACTGGGAACAACCGCAGTACATCCGTAACTCTGCCGGCAACGTCCGGGATGATCCGGGAACATCCGGAATTCGACCTCGGACGGAATAAAATATTTCATATCATCGGGGGACGGGGGTGGGGGGGGTCCGGGATGATCCGGGAAGTATAACTTTGCCGGCTTCAACCTTAGCTCTGCCGGGGACGACCGGGGAAGCACCGTAGCACAGCCGGCAAAAACCCGGGATGATCCGGGGTATGATATAGCCGGTAGAGCTACGGTATAGCCCCGTTGAATGCTTGCAGATCCCAAGAGGATGACGATGGAGCTACGGTTGATTCTGGAAGAGCCCGGCAAAGCCCGGTTCATTTAAAAAGAATCAAGACAATTTACGATGATTGCACTTGTTTATATTAAAACCCTTCCCATTTTCCTTCTGTCCAGTCTTGCATAAGGATTTTTTGTTTCAGAAAATCATCATGAATAATTGTTCTGAAACAATAGATATTATATTAAATAACAATCATGTATTAATGTAATCATTTTCGCGAGTTTTAAAACCACCAGGGTATTTCCGAGGCTCTGCCTGGATCGTCCTGGGCTCTGCTTGGGTCAACCGGAGCTCTTCCGGCGTCATCCGGGAACAACCGGGGAAGAACCGGCATAAACCGTAGTTTCACCTGGGCTCTGCCTGGATGGTCCGGAGTGCATCCTGGATGGTAAGTTGGGAATTAGCGTAGTGCTGCCGGGGTATGTGTGACCGTAACAATAATTTCACCTCGGATCATCCCAGTAACTTACCGGGGTGATCCAGGTCCCTGACGGGAGTAAGTGAGACCGCAGCTTAACGGACGTTTTTTACTGTTGGTAAAATAACTGAATCGTTCGTCCTCAAAATCCGTCAAACTCAATTCAATTCGCACTTATATTTTGACCCAATATCAATATGTCTTGAGCCCGTATTCAGAAACGATACTTAATCTCAGTCACAACTCAAACCCTCGAAAGGTCCCTCAAGTGACGCTGAAGGAGACTAACAGAACGTAACTCACAATGTGCAAAATGGTATTCTCGTGTAGCATAACAACACTCAATGTACATTTCAAAAGTGTAAGTATTTCGTGTAAAAGAATTTATTTCACAGAATTGGAATCAAATTTGTTCAAAGAATGAATTAGTTTATAAAAAAATAATGTAATTGAAAACAAAAACAAAAATCTGAGTTTAAATATCTGATTTTAAATCTATGTCCGATAAAACAAAAGCATGGAAAAGTTGAAAAAAAATTCATTGACAAAAGAATTGATGCTTAGTATTCAAAATAAAGGTCACGTAATTGAAATATAACATTTCTTTAGCCTTCCTTTTTTCATCCAGTATTTCAGGTTTTCACAACTTATCTTCTCCTTGAAATATGGTGGTTGATTTCTGACATTTCGTGTCTTCGTGTCAGTGGTTCATTTAAACTGTATGAATTGATTATTGTTTTCTGAATAGCATTTTACTTTTTCATGTTGTTTCGAAATGTTACAGTATACACTATAATAGCTGTGATAATTTCTCCAAGCACTATTATATCACCAAGTAATAAAGAATCCCTGAAGAAAGCCCAACAAGACAAAATTGAAAATGTTGCAGACTCGGTTTGATTGAGCCTGTTCATAGACGGTAATGGAAAGTGTAAGTTACCGTCCACGCCCCCTAGCACCGACTTAAGCAGAATTCAACATCTAATCATGGTAATGGTGAAATCTTGAATTTAGAACCATTCAAAAATGTGTTCATACGTCGGTTATCATGGAACCTTCAATGTGACACTTTCGTGACATTCCATGAAAACCGGCATATGGTCCCCAAGTAAATGAATGCGTGTGCCCTAAACGAGAAATCAATAGCGGGAAAAAATAAAAATGAATTTTGAAAGGGGGTCAGAGGTTATGATTCCTGCATAAAGTAAAAACTATAAGTACCACAAACATATCAATAAACCATGTTCTGAAATTTTGCTGCTCTTTGTTATTGTACCTTTCAAAACTGACTAATCTATAATTGTACTATTCGATATTTTTCATCATATAAAAAACTGTTTATTTATGATATATATTCATAATTAATTGTGTTATTGCAAATTCAATTAAAAATCTGACCATTCAAAATGTTTTTAACTTTAATTTAACATTTATTTTCAGTATCATACATTCATATAGATCCTGCTTTTGTAAGTTAATTCTAGTTTTAATTTGTATCTTTAAATTGTCGTTGTTCCAATTATCTTAGATCTGTACAAATATTCTGTCGAAATCCAATAATGTATAACTTTCGATAAAACGGTATAAAAAGTAAATGAATCAAACAAAGTTCTCTCGACCGAGTCAGAGCAAATATGCTTGACCAGAAAGTTCATCGTGATTAAACAATGTTTCCTTATATCACCTTACATGCATATCATATTTGATCCTTCATACATGCCTGTTATCATAAATGTCACGTGTCAGTAGATGAAGTAAGAATGTAATGTATGACGATAATAAATTATTTGTAACCAAACATGCATCTATTCTTCAAGTTAATTCAATATATTCACCAGAATTAAATGTGTTGATGAGTTATATAGATATCCAGGTAGATATGTCTATTTTTATATATAAATCTGGTGCTGTAGGCGACAATATTTTTTTTTGAGAAACGTAATTTATAGTGTTTTTTTCTGTTTGTTTACAAACTTGGTCACTGATCTCCCGACATCTGCAGGCCAAATGAACCAATGAAAATATTCAAGACTGTTATAACACCTACAAACCCGACCGTAACATTATTAAGATTGTTGGCACGCCTTTTCCCTTCGTCAGTTTCAAAAACCATTCGTCCAAGCACTAGTAACATTATTCCGACCAAGAATTGCAGGAATAATGATGCACATATCATCACTATAACCGGGTAGTAATAGTTCCAGGACGAGCCGTAATTTAGGACGGATTTTAGCTGTGACGCATTGCTCATCAATAATCCAATATCAAACAATCCTTTCGCAATTGTTTTCTTTGTCGCATATGTGTTAAAGTTAACTTCTTTTTTCGAGCTTTGCTGCAATTTAAATTAATTCACCCATAAAACAGAAATTAGAATTTATTGAAACCATAAATTAACGCAAAAGATATATAAACAGGAGCATCACTAATATTTTGTCTTATTTCTTTCAACAATAATTTTTAACAATCAACTATTTTTTATTTATTTTTTTTTTTTTGGCTTTTTAATAGGAACAGAGCACAATTCTCCAAAGTTTTTATAATTTATTGATTAGGACAAAAATACAGATGATGTAAATATCCGGCCAATCTGATAAGTAACACTTTAATTGAAAATGATAAATAAGTAAAATCAAACGAAATAATCTGCTTCCTGTGACTGAAAATCAATCTGTTTGACGGCTTTGTTTTCAAATATTCATCATTCCAGTGACGAGAATTTTGTTTAACTTTAATTTTCCTTAAATTGCAGTTACATATCTTATGATGTAATAAAAATACTGGTTCTATCTATAAATACAAATATTATATATTTAGTTAATGCTTACATCTTCTTTTCCATCCATTTTATGAGGAGATCCTTACACTCTATGGTTATAAGATCCTTACACTTTGTGTCGGTTTAGTTTCAACTTCTTATCTGGTAAAATACTTACCTTTTATGTAATAGCTTAAATTGATTATATCTTATCTTTTATGTTGAACTTAGATACGATAGAATGTCGGAATAAAACCATTTTGTCAATGCATTGATTGGATTGACCTATGTTACCTTTGTTAGATAAATTTACCTTCTATCTTGCTAAAATGTCACTTTTGTACTGATTTACAGTATACAAACAAACAGTACCAAACTATTTTAGTGTCTTATATCAGAGAGTTTAGAAATGGTGACCAAATATCTATTTTTGGACAACTCATTTAACTACGCTGAGTAGGAAGAGAATTGTACACCCAGTTAATCAAAATGACAATAGCTAATTGCACCAGTTTTAATAATAATAATATATCTGCCATTATGAACACTTTTGGCAAACGCAGAGTTTATAACATTCAACACTCTACGAACGTGTCAGAGTTGTGGTACATGGAAGCTAACACTTTTCATTCTTATCATTATAGAAATACAACACACTGTAAATTAATAAAGAATGATGATTTCTAGTACGGTAATCAAAATAATTGTCAAAGATGTTTCTTTATATACTTCAAATACTTGTTTTCTGTATTTTAATTGATTTAAAGTTATTGGTCAAACGTTTAGAAAAAACAAATCACCATATGTTTGCAAATATAATATGAATAGAATAGATAGTGCAGGAGATCAGTAATGTTAAGGTACAGGGGAGCAGTAATGTAAAGGTATAGGGGATCAGTAATGAAAAGGTTCAGGGGTTCAGTAATATAAAGGTACAGGGGAGCAGTAAAGTGAAGGTACAGGGGAGGTAATGCAAAGGTACAGGGGAGCAGTAATGTAAAGGTACAGGTGGGCAGCAATGTAAAGGTACAGGGGAGCAGTAAAGTGAAGGTACATAGGAGCAGTAATGTAAAGGTACAGGGGAGCAGTAATGCATACGTTCAGGGGAACAGTAATGAAAAGGTACAGGGGAACAGTAATGAAAATGTACAGGGGAACAGTAATGTAAAGGTACATGGGAGCAGTAATGTCATGGTACATGGTAGCAGTAATGTAAAGTTACAGGGGAGCAGCAATGTAAAGGTACAGGGAAGAAGTTAAGTGAAGGTACAGGGGAGTAGTAATGTAAAGGTACAGGGGAGCAGTAATGTAAAGGTACAGGGGAGCAGTAAAGGTTAGGTACAGGGGAGCAGTATTGCAAAGGTACAGGGGAGCAGTAATGTAAATGTGAAGGGAAGCAATAAAGTAAAGATACAGACGAACAGTATTGTAAAGGTACGGTGACATAGTAATGTAATGGTTAGGGGGCAGTAATGTAAAGTTATAGTTTTGCAGTAAAGTGAAGGTTCAGGGGAGCAGTAATGTTAAGTACAGGGGAGCCGTAATGAAAAGGTACATTGGAGGAATAAAGTAAAGGTACAGGGTATCAGTAATGTAAAGATATAGTGGAACAGTAAAGTGAAGGTACAGGGAAGCTGACATGTCAAGTACAGTGGAACAAGCAGTAAATAAAGGTATAGTAGATCAATTATTTAAATGTACAGAGGAGCAGTAATGCAAAGGTACAGGGGAGCAGTAATGTAAAGGTACAGGGGGCAGTAATGTTAAGGTACAGGGGAGCAGTAATGTAAAGGTACAGGGGAGCAGTAATGTAAAGGTACAGGGGAGCAGTAATGTAAAGGTACAGGGGAGCAGTAATGTAAAGGTACAGGGGAGCAGTAATGTAAAGGTACAGGGGAGCAGTAATGTAAAGGTACATGGGAGCAGTAATGTAAAGGTACAGGGGAGCAGTAATGTAAAGGTACATGGGAGCAGTAATGTAAAGGTACAGGGGAGCAGTAATGTAAAGGTACAGGAAAACAGTAATGTAAAGGTACAGGGGGCAGTAATGTTAAGGTACAGGGCAGCAGTAATGTAAAAGTATAGTGTAGCAATAATGTAGCTGTACAGTGGAGCAGTAAAGCAAGGGTACAATGCAGCAGTAATGTAAACGACAAGAATCTCTAGGTTTTGTATTGGTAAAGTGTGTATTACATGAAGCCATAAGTACCATTTGTATTTACTATACCTACATGTATTTTCAAATATGTTTCTCAACACCAACTACTGTAAAGCTTATGTAAGCTTCAGAATGTAGACATAAATCTTCATATGGCAACACTGAAGCTTTACTGGTGGGTTGCTCCTCTGTACATTATTTCAGGCACAAACGGGCAACTGAGTAGAACCACCGACGTTTGGTAAGCTAGCTGGAATACATTCTCACATGTAGAATCTGACAACGCTTGCTTAAACCTACAGCTGTGAAAAACTAGTGGTTTGTAGTCAACGACCTTAACCACTCTGCCACAGAAGTCCCTATTTCCCTTTTATTGAAAAGAATGAAATGTAAATTTAATTCCATATTGACCATAACCTCTAGCAAACAAATCCATAATATGTTGTTAATTTGATTGATTTAAACATATTGTTGTTAATTTAACATGAAGTGAGAACATTATATAACCAAAACTTTGTGTACATGTATTCAAAACTGTAGACAAGAGGGTCATGATGGCCCTCAGGTCAATCACATGTATATGGGCCAGTTTAAAACCCAGGGCTTTTATTTGAACAAACTTGGAAGACACCCATTAGAAGATGTTTCATGATGTTAAGTTTTTACTACAATTATATATTGAAAAACAATTATCTCCCCCACCCCCTCCTCGGCAGGGCCAATTTTAACCCAAGGGCTTTTATTTAAACAAACTTGGTAGACACCCATAAGAAGATGTTTCATGCTAAACATCTGAGCTCTAGCTATTTGGGTTTTCTGAAAGAAGATTTTTAAGTTTTTGCTATACACATATAAGGAAAATCAATGACCCCCGGGGCGGGGCCAATTTTGACCCCAGGGCTTTTATCTGAATAGACTTGGTAGACACTCACTAGAAGATGTTTCATACTTAATATCTAAACTCTAGCTATTTGGGTTTTTTCAAAGAGAATTTTAAAGTTTTTGTTATACACATATAAGGAAAATCTATGACCCCTGGGGCGGGGCCAATTTTGACCCCAGGGCTTTTATTTGAACAAACTTGGTAGACACCCATTAGAACATGTTTCATGCTAAATATCTTAGCTCTAGCTCTCTGAGTACTTTAAAAGAAGATTTATTAAGTTTTTACTATACATATGCATATAGGGAAAATCAATGACCCCCTGGGGCGGGGCTAATTTTGACCCCAGGGCTTTTATTTGAACAAACTTGGTAGACACTCACTAGAAGATGTTTCATGCCAAATATCTAAGATCTAGCTCTTTGGGTTTTTTAAGAGAAGATATTTAAATATTTTTCATTCGGTTGCCATGGCAACCAGAGTTCTGCATGGAATTAAATTCTTTGAACAATTTTTAAAGGTGACCACCAAAGGAACATTCCTGTGAAGTTTGGATGAAATTGGTTTAGTGGTTTATGAAGAGATGTCATTTAAAGTAAAAGTTTACGGACGGACGCCGGACGAACACCGGACAAAAAGTGATCACAAAAGCTCACCCTGTCACTTTGTGACAGGTGAGCTAACAAAAAACTAATCATAAGGTTCATAAATTATTATATGACGTTTTGCATTATTGTAGTTATTGGAATTTATCCATTCAGTAAGTATTTCCCAACAATAATCTGTTTATTACTTCATCTGACAGAATAACAAGTATATTTTTTTTCAAAACATAACAATTTTATTTGTATTTATCACAGGTTTAAAACATGAAATTCATAAAAAAGTGTTTAATGATGATACATGTATAATGAAACTGATATTTAATACTTTAAGTTAACAGTTGTCCAAATGGCGTCTTTTGTTACATGTCTATGTAAAGCACCTTTCTGTTTTTCTTGTCTAACTCTAGCTTTTCTGGTATGTTTGTTTATAACTACAGCTAAAGGTATAATATTCTCTAGCTCTGTTATACTATCTGTATCTATTGTCTCACCATCAACATCTACATTCATCTCGTTTGGCATTAGATCACTAGATTTAGCTATCCTTTTGTGGATTTTGTGAATAAATTTGTGTTCACTGAAAGCAAAGCCTTTATGCTTCATGGTTTCCCTTTTCACAGTACTATGTTTTTGTGTTTTACCTTTTTTCACTTGACTTATTTTATGACCTTCCTTTCTATCAGAACAAGAATGTGATTCCTTAAATACCTTCTTTGCCTTTCCTGTGAATTTATCTGACAAAGAAGTATCCCTTTTTCTTTTAGTTCCTTTTATAAAACAATTAATAGCTGGACTGTTTCCATCGTTACAGGTATCTTCAAAACTTTGATTTATGCCATTTAAATTTTGGTCCATTAAACAAGGGGCATTACAATCATTCTTTGTCTTGCTCATTGAACAATTTAGTTTATTACATAGTGATGTCCCTTGTTTTTCATGGTTGTTATTTTTACAAACTGATGTTTTTGAAATATCTGTTTTAGTTTTGTTTGAATTATAACATTTTTTTATTATTCCAACTTTCTCTATAGGTTGGCTGTACCTTATAACACCTTGTTTTCTCCTCCCTATTTTCTGTACATCAACAGTACAATCATTCTGCAGTTTGTTGTTAGGACAATTATTTATACATTTTATACATGTACTAACACAGTCTGTTGAACTTTGTCCTTCCTTTCTACATTCATCATTACACCTCATAATATCTTTATCAAAACTGACACCCCTCCTGAAAATAGACGTGAAGAACTTTGATAAGAATTGTATTTCTTTTATCATAAAAATTCTGAGTAATAATTAGTGATTTGTAACTTATTTTTAACTCTGTGTTGTTGTTTAATCACAACCAACATTTTTCCTTATTGAACATAGAAGAACCGAAGTGTGTGTTATTATACAATAAAATCACTGTTGACGTTCCATATTTAGACATGTGACGTAATCATAATATACATGTGACATATCCACGAAAAATGCAAACCGCTGAAATAAGTACTGAAACAAATTTAGCTTAATGTCATGTATAGCAGCATTTACTTGTTAATGTCGTGTTAGAATCAAAATAATATATCCAAATCAGTGATTTTATCGCTTTATAAAATCACTGTTTGTCGTTCCGATGCGCATCATTATATCACTCGGGCTACGCCCTCATGATATAATTCCTCGCATCCGAACTCCAAACAGTGATTTTACTGAGCCATATCACAGGTTGGGATATATTATTCCTTAATTTTAACTCTGTTATGGGGTTATGTAACATATCATCAACTCTTTGTGTTTTTAACACATTTTAACTCTTATCTATGATGGGGTTCTGTAAGACATTTTAACTCTTTACTAGTTTACATAATTATAAGTGAGTGTTTCCTAACTTATTTTTAACTCTATGATGGGGTTATGTAACATATTTTACTCTATAATGGTGTTACACAGCATATTCATAAGTTAGTGCTTCCTAACTTATTTTTAACTCTATGATGGGGCTATGTAACATATTTACTCTATAATGGTGTTACACAGCATATTCATAAGTAACTGTTTTCTAACTTATTTTTAACACTATGATGGGGTTATGTAACATATTAACTCTATAATGGTGTTACACAGCATATTCATAAGATAGTGTTTTCTAACTTATTTTCAAATATGATATAATTACTGTCAACTGGATTGAATTGAAGGTCATGTCTTCAAACCGGGGAGACAGGGCAACTTTTTTTCTTACCTTTTTTCTATTAACATTATTTATGTATTTCTTTGATCCATTTTGGAAAATAAAAAAAAGTAATGATTTCAATTATAGAATAACTATACGCATTTATTGCCTAAATAATGCTAAATTTAATAACAAATATGGTACCTGATATTATATATTCTTAACACTATGTTAGTGTTTTGTATCAAATTTTATTATTACTTTCAAATTTTAACTCTACTTTGTGTTTATGTACATATTTTAACTCCATGTTGATGCTATATTCTTAACTCTATCTAAATATTTTGTAACATATTTCAACTCTATGTTAGTGTTGTTTTTTTCAACCTATTCTTTACTCTATGTTTGTGTTAAATAACATATTCTAACTCTGTAATGAAATATATCTTAATTTCTACATATCTTTAGCCTATGTTGACGATATGTAACATATTTTAACTCTATGTTGTTGTTATGTAACATATCTTTACTCTATTTTGTTGTTATGTAACATATTTTTTACTCAATGTTGTTGTTATGAAACATATTTTTAACTCTATGTTGTTGTTATGTAACATATCTTTACTCTATTTTGTTGTTATGTAACATATTTTTTACTCAATGTTGTTGTTATGTAACATATCTTTACCCTATGTTGTTGTTATGTAACATATCTTTACTCTATTTTGTTGTTATGTAACATATTTTAACTCTATGTTGTTGTTATGTAACATATCTTTACCCTATGTTGTTGTTATGTAACATATTTTTTACTCAATGTTGTTGTTATGAAACATATTTTTAACTCTATGATGTTGTTATGTAACATATCTTTACTCTATTTTGTTGTTATGTAACATATTTTAACTCTATGTTGTTGTTATGTAACATATTTTTACCCTATGTTGTTGTTATGTAACATATCTTTACCCTATGTTGTTGTTATGTAACATATTTTAACTCTATGTTGTTGTTATGTAACATATTTTTTACTCAATGTTGTTGTTATGAAACATATCTTTACCCTATGTTGTTGTTATGTAACATATTTTAACTCTATGTTGTTGTTATGTAACATATTTTAACTCAATGTTGTTGTTATGTAACATATTTTTACCCTATGTTGTTGTTATGTAACATATTTTAACTCAATGTTGTTGTTATGAAACATATCTTTACCCTATGTTGTTGTTATGTAACATATCTTTACTCTATTTTGTTGTTATGTAACATATTTTAACTCTATGTTGTTGTTATGAAACATATCTTTACCCTATGTTGTTGTTATGTAACATATTTTAACTCTATGTTGTTGTTATGTAACATATCTTTACTCTATTTTGTTGTTATGTAACATATTTTAACTCTATGTTGTTGTTATGAAACATATCTTTACCCTATGTTGTTGATATGTAACATATCTTTACCCTATGTTGTTGATATGTAACATATTTTAACTCTATTTTGTTGTTATGTAACATATTTTTTACTCAATGTTGTTGTTATGAAACATATCTTTACCCTATGTTGTTGATATGTAACATATTTCTACCTCTATGTCAGTGTTTTGTGATATGATCACTATAAAGTATGTTTGTTTACTTACAACTTTTTCTTGTTTCTACTTTCATCAGAACATATCCTTGATCTTCTTGATGAAGGCTGCAAATCTGAAATCAAGTTAATAAGTAAGTTTCTCTAAAATCAAGTTAACAAGTCTGTTTCTCTAAAATCAAATTAACAAGTCTGTTTCTCTAAAATCCAGAAAACAAGTCTTTTTCTCTTAAATCAAAATAACAAGTCTGTTTCTCTAAAATCAAGATAACAAGTCTGTTTCTCTAAAATCAAGATAACAATTCTGTTTCTCTAAAATCAAGATAACAATTCTGTTTCTCTTAAATCAAAATAACAAGTCTGTTTCTCTAAAATCAAATTAACAAGTCTGTTTCTCTAAAATCCAGAAAACAAGTCTTTTTCTCTTAAATCAAAATAACAAGTCTGTTTCTCTAAAATCAAAATAACAAGTCTGTTTCTCTAAAATCAAGATAACAATTCTGTTTCTCTAAAATCAAGTTAACAAGTCTGTTTCTCTAAAATCAAGATAACAATTCTGTTTCTCTTAAATCAAAATAACAAGTCTGTTTCTCTAAAATCAAGATAACAAGTCTGTTTCTCTAAAATCAAGATAACAAGTCTGTTTCTCTAAAATCAAGATAACAAGTCTGTTTCTCTAAAATCAAGATAACAAGTCTGTTTCTCTAAAATCAAGATAACAAGTCTGTTTCTCTAAAATCAAGTTAACAAGTCTGTTTCTCTTAAATCAAAATAACAAGTCTGTTTCTCTAAAATCAAGTTAACAAGTCTGTTTCTATAAAACCAAATCCTGTTTTCTCATTTGAATGGTTCACTGTTCTTAACTTTTAAACAGTTTCCAAACAAATCTGTTTATGTATGAGTTTTTAGAGGAATGTTTCTTGTTCAAGTGTTAGTAATTATACGACAACATTTGTAAAGAAAATTATCCTGGCTTCAAATACATAGGATGCCAGATATTAATACTGAAAACTTGAAATATAGTATTACAGTAAACTTCACTTATAGCGAACACGGTTACAGCGAACTTCCGGTTATAGGGAACAAATTATTTTGGCCCGAATTTTGCCCTTCTTTATTTAATATGAAAATATATGGTTATAGCGAACACGGTTATAAGGAATTATCGCTTATAAGGAACTCATTTCTAAGTCCCAATTTAGTTAATACAACAGAAAATTACACTTTTATAACGAACTCCAAAATATTGGCTATTCGTATATAGATCCCGCATTTTCAACTTTCGTTTTCATTCGCACGGATGAAAAGTCGGGCAAATGTACCGTTTATCGTTGTATGTACTTCAATACATCTATTCAAATGAATTTGTATAGTTTTCTATTTAGGATATTTGTAGCATGATCTCTTTTCACCAAGATAAAACGGTTATTTATTTATTTTCTTCAATAGTTTTGCTCGAGTAAAATAATTAAAATAATTTATAATCGGTTTTCAACATAATCATGCATGCTTGCAAGCATGATCCATTGCAAACTGCAAAGTACGCTTGATTTAACAGAAAAGAAATCTATATCTTACATTAAAAAGTCACCCTTATATTATAATAGAAGATATTCAATATTAAAGGAAGGAAAAATCGAAAATCTTGTTTATTCTCAATCATGAAAGAAAACGAAAAGAGTTTAGAAACAAAATATTATATTTTATGTGAAATTGAGATAGGGAGTAAAACTTAAACTGAAATAGCAATGATTTTCAAATTCCAAAAAGTACGCTCTCGGGTATTGTTTCTAAACTATAAATTAATGACTTATATTTCTATTTCTTAATTAAATGCTCTTCAAAAATGGCGGACAATGGTGAACAATCAGTTCATTATATGTAAATCTGTTCGCTATAAAAATTCCTGATACAAGAAGCTAATTCGCTATATGCTTACAAGGAATTCCAGATATAAGGAACAGGTTTAGAATGTCCCAGTGAGTTCGTTATAAGCGGAGTTTACTGTAATCATATATCTAATTGCATGTACTGTAATCAATTAACAATGATAAATCATGAGAGATGAGGCAAATTGTCACAACTTAAATACAGCTCTAAAACTTGTGCTGTTTTAAATGTCAGTGCCATAATATGATGGTGAATTTAACACTATGACACCCCATATATATAAAAGAAAATCATCACAGTTTGTGCACTTAAAATCCTGTGTTTCCAACAACTGAAATTCTTTCACTGACACAAGACAATATACTAATTTATAAATTATCTATCATTTCTATATAATGACATACCTAATCTATCATTTGATGACTTTTTTATATCACATTTTTCTGCAATAATCTGACATATTGGTTTAGGATCTTCTTTCTGTTTAATGTCATCTAATGCAAATTTATGATTCTGTTTTGACATTTCCAAATTAACATCTCTTCCTTGTTTATAACAAGCTGGCTTTCTGAAATAACTATAAATTTATAATAACAGTTCTAACCTGATTATAGTGTGATAATGGTTATCACTCAGACATAGATCTATGAAAACAATAAATCTTTTGTTTACAACCTATGATGAATAATTTTTACATTATTATATGTCCTAGATACATAATATCAGGTAATCTTAAATGACAAAATCAGTCTTTATATGTTTGAATGTTGCACTTTAGGGTCACATCAAAACTGTAAAGGTCATACAGTGACTCTCCAGCTTTACTGGTTGAGGAAGGTCTCAGGTGCATGTATTATTTCAGACACAGTTGTGTTAGGAGTTTAACCACCAACTTTCTTTTAGTATTGATAGTCTTTATTAGAAGTATACTTTAAGCTCATGTTTTAATGTTACTTCAATTAATGTTAATTCCCTCAGCTAGCTGAAACCAAATTTGATAACCTTTGGTGAAACCAAAACACAAGGCTATTTTATTCAAAATCTATGATAAAAGACATGTTTAAAGCCATACCTGCAGTAGTTTTGAAGATTGATTTTACACCAAGAATTTTGGAAGTTCACAAATGGCCATAATTAAGTCAAAATCCCTGCCAAAGTTATAGGCCGTGAAAAGCGATTTCCCTTTATGACAGTTAAGACATGTATTAAGTTTAAGTGAAAATCTTCAGTTGTTTTGAAGGCTGAAGCTGCATGAAACACGTGAACCAACAATTTTCTAAGTTCACAAAGGGCCATAATTCAGTCATAATCCATGTTAGAGTTATGGGAGCCTTGGATAGTAACCTCCAATTCTAATACATAAGATTTATATCTAGTTTCGAATGAAGACCTTCATTGTTTTAGTGCAAAATTAAACCAGGATTTTTTAAGCTTACATACTGGTTGGAGACCACCAAAACCGGACAACCACCAAACCTGGACGGCCCCGAAAATGCTTAATTTAGTATTTTCTTTGTTCAGTGGTTGTCAGTCACTTTTTTTATCAACAATAAATGCATATTTCTTCTATAATTAAGTAAATGAATTTATTTCAACCTCTGTAAATGGTAATATTTTAATTGTCTATTTCAAATATGTTGACGTTGAAATTTGGGCGTCAAGAAAGCAATGCCTGATCTCATATAGCAGCTATAATCATTTGCAGAATAAACAATAGAATATCCAACACTTCAGCATTAGTTGCTGAAATATTGTATATCATGTTAAAAATCAAAAATTAAAACACCCAAACTTTTATCTGAATTAAATCATGTCATGTACATATCTCATAATCTGTCCGGACACATGGTACTGTAGTGTAGACAATTTAGGTAATTTTGATACCCTCTTTGATGAGCCTCGGATGTAAGTGTCAATACAATCAGAAATAAACAAACTATTTTGTTAGTTAGGATATGAACCTAGCTGTACTGTTTTAATTCTTTAGGCTTCTGGGTTGGAAATTATGAAATCTGTATGGACATTTTTTCTAAAAGTGTCCGGTTGATGGTCCCCGACCAGTAGGGCTATAATTGTGTCAAAATCCATGCTAGAGTTTCTATTATACTCTCAAATTTAAGCAAGTGTAGTTATACACAAATATCATAAGTTATTGATGAGATATGATGTTGCATATTCAACTAAAGTGTTACATGTAGGTTGATGCCAGGGTGAGCAGGATATTCTTATAATAGCGAAGTTAAAAATAGATGAAGTATATACAGATAGCCAGACAGACAGACAGCCTAGAACCAGTATACACTACTTATGTCCTTTATTTATTTATTTTTGTTTCCTTTTAAACTTTTAATAATGATTTGGTAAATGTTACTGTTGACATAACTTTCCAGAATGACTAATACTTGTACTACATCCAATCAAAATATTTACCCTTGATACTGTCTTGTAATTATTTATTATTTCCTAAACAAACTTAATATTTTACAGTCATTTGTATAAACACATTGATCAATACTTACTTCTCTTCTAAATTTAAAACTTGTCTTTTATTTGCCAAACTCGAAGTGGAACTTTTTCTTGTAGAAGGCTTCAAGTCTAAAGAAAAATAGCAATACTTATTAATTCATTTATCATTGTGTACAAATGTCTTGTGGTTTAATCTAAAAACTTGATTACTCATACATGCTTTGCTACCAGTATGTGTATTATGTGATATAAAAATTGTATAAACAAGGGAGTCATAATGGCCCTAGATCTCTCACCTCAGATCTATTGCTTAAATAATATTTGGTCACATAAGGGCGTGTCATGTATAAACCCAGGGGCATGATAAATAGAAGAAGAGGGCCATGATGGCCCTTACATCGCTTACCCGGGTGGGACCAAATATGACCCCGGAGGGAAAAGTTATATAACTTTTGTAGAGGATAACAAGCATAAGATAGCAAATATGTTTAAAGACATTGAGGATAACCAAACACAACACACTGGACAACAGACATCATGCAATCAGAAAAGCTCTCAGCCATGAGCACAGTAAGCTATATGTCAAAGAATTGACCTTTAATGGTATAAAATAAGAGACTTTTATCATTTGATCTCATTTGAGCTTCAGTTATTACACAATGTCATACCTAGTTGATCCTGATTTAGAAGCTGTTGACCCTTCTCTAACAACAAACTAGATGACTGATTTACTGGCCACTGTTGCCATGGAAACATAACATTACTTTCTGGTGTGTACTTGTGTTGATTTGACTGTTCCATCAACTGATTTACAGCTGCATTAATATCAGATAAACTTTCATCTGATGTTGCTGACAAGTTAATCACATGGTTGGAGTGACTGTTGTCTAATGCTGCTGACAAGTTCATAATATGATTACAGTGACCATTTTCTGGTGTGTATGCATCAAAAGTATGAATTTGACTATTACAACTTAATGACTGATGATTTTTTACATATTTTTCTAACTGTTTATCATTACCTTCAACACTTTTATCTTCACAATTTGCATGACTTATACCTGACTGTTCATCATGATAATGAAGTACTGATGCTGATATATACTGTGGTGTCTGATCACAGGGTTTATTAAAAGTTTTGCTGTGGTTATTATTTCTACCAGACGATAATTTCAAATCATTTTCTGTACTTATTAACAGACCTGGCAAATCCTTTACCATCAAATCACTGTTTGTTAAGTTTTCTAATTGTTCTTTAGTATCTTTATATGAAAATAAATTTGATGTGTCTTTTCTTTTTTGCTTCATGGATTTCTGATTAACCAAGTTATCATATTTAAAGTTACCAGTTTGTGTATTATATGAGTAAGGAACTTTACTGGCATCCTTCGCAAATGTTGGTAGTTCTTCAAACAGTTTATCAAACATTAAATCTAACTTTGGTCTCTTGTTCATCTTTCACCTGAAAATATACAACATATTTCAAATCAATTAACATTTATAGCACTGATTAAAATATTTCCATCAATTTTACATTGTTAACCATAATATAAAAATCAAAATTTGGAATGCATATGATTCATCATTTTCAGTTTTAACAAATTTCATTTTTGTGTTAATGTTATTAAATTAAATTATTAAACTACATGTGCCATGGCATATACAGACAATTTACCACAAATCAGACAAAATTAATTGTTCTTACTAAAATCTAATTAAATAAATTCAAAGGAAAAATATAAATAAATTGCAAATTTTCTCAATTTGTGAATTTAAAATTAGGGGGGAAGTGTACATGTTAAAATTAAATGTGTGCTTTTTATACAGTAAAATGCATTCATTTTCTTTGGCGCTTCTGATGTCATAAATAACCTGTGAATTATTTCATTGGTTCAATAAAAATATTTGTTTTGTCAATTTACTTTGTGCACACATGCCTTTATTTTGCTTAGTGTTTTTAGATACATCAGCACAGAGCCAGGATCATTCTACAAATGATCCAGAGATCTGCCAAGAAATGAAGAATTAGAAAGTACTGGTTGCTAGGTAGTTTCTAGTATACTACAAGGTACTGGTGTATACAAGCAGTAACAGGCAAAATAATCCAAACAGTGAAAGTGGTAGTCCTTTATACACAGCCCTTGATCTACTTACAAAATATGTGGCCAAATATGGGCCACAGTCCTCAACCAAAGTAAAATGAGTCTTTTTTCCTTTAACAAGGGTAAAATTCACCATTAAAACATATACAGTAAAGTCCAATGGAAAAATAAAAAAGTTATAAATGCAGTTTTTGACAAGAAAAATATTGATCTGTTTCACAGCGTTATTGTCAGCAGAATATTGTATGTCTGCACCGTTTTCTGTTTCACATGGTAACTATGGTTTGATATCTGTATGGATGCACCGAGAAGACTTTTGTCCTCAAAATGTTTCACAGTAGCAAGTTGTATCGAAAAAAAAAAAAATTAATAGTCAACTGATTTTTCCCGAATAAACTGAAATTTTCCCTGCTGAAGCAGGATCTTTCAAACAGAATGGTCAGGGAATGTTCTATGTAAACCCTTCTTGCTACAATTAAACATGTCTTGGTATAACTTAAAATAGTTTGCTTTAAGCAAATTATGTAAGTGTTCAAGAAAAGGGCCAAAATTAAATACAAATTTAAACAAAAACAAAAAAGAACACGAAGTTCTTTAAAAATCTTAAAACTTGTGAAAATAAGATGAATTTTTCAGAAAATAATGTTTTTAAAGCCATGATCTTTGAAAAACATAGATTGCTTGTTCAGAATATTTGCAACAAACTGCACCATTTTTAAAATGTACCAAATTGAGCATCAAATATTTGTAAATGGTATCGTGAAAAATTATAAAATCTTTACATGAAACGATTAACCTTTTCCCTTATATAAGCCACATTAAGCGTGTTTCGACGGCTTTTTACCTCCCCCTTTTTGAGGCCTCAAACAGTGAAAAAATGCCCTATTTAGGCCCCAAACACTGGTTTTGGTTTGAGAAATGCTGTTAAAAAAGTGACCACTTATTCGGCGCCGTCCCCCATCCAAATGTTACATCAGGGGGTTGCCAGAAGGGGGATGTGTTTGGGGGTTTTGAATCGCCAAGAAAATTTTGGACATGTGACAGGCTAAAAATGGCCTCAGGTCGATCTTAGGGTAACTAGTAACTGACACTGAAAAGCCTTTTACTCTATCTCAATTCATTGAGAAGTTGCAGCACTTTGAAATCAGTTTTGATGGAAAAAAAACAATGCATTGAAAATAGTGATTTTTGGCAATTTTGAGACGTTCCCCCATTGCCATGGTAACAGGAAATTTACAATTGAGTATGCTGTTACAGAGGCTATGGTGTAGTCAACATTTGTGCCACGTTTCATCAGTATTGAAGCATTTTTCATTGTTTCATAGAAGTTTGAACTTGTTACAGGAGGCTTTTCAATGAAAACGGCCATTTTTCGCAATATTCTCATGGGGTAAAAGGTTAAATAACATTTTTTATCTGTAAAATCAATTTCTATTTTATGCATGAATTTAAAAAAGCTTAAAAAACTCAGACCTATTTAAAATTTATACAAGTACCTTGTCACCAGGATCAAAAAATTCCTAATTTCATTGCAAATCTATTAAATTGTTACTTTTTAAGGTAAAAACTGATAATGTAATGTAGCCAGGATTAGTTTGCAGTAATTTTTTTATTAATTTTTACTTGATTCCTATGATCTCATAGGTTCTATGATATCACAGTATTTACATTTTCTGTGACTGCAAGTAAAAGCAACACACGATGATGCTAATATTTGTAAAACTGGCACACATGATTTATTCTCATCTGCGAATAAATATAATTTTGTGAATAATGAATGTATTCGTGGCAAGAAAACTATTTTATAAAGTCTTCATATTCGACAACTATATCCCTTAGTTGTTTTTACAGTCTATCAAAATATGTTACAATTATATACTGACATATATATTGTGACATCTGTTCATATAGTTTGAATATTATAGCAAGTAAACTTAACAGTTAACAGTTAACTGTTTGAAGTTTTTCACATTTAACTTAACTTGAAGAGTTTGACCCATCTATCCTTCCATACTTGCAGTTTTGGGGGTTACGGTTACTGTGATACCATAGTAACCTCCTCTGAAATTACCAAAAATGGCAGACATTGGAAATAGTTTAATAAATGACATTTTAATTAGATCTTTTGAAATAATTTTTTGACAACAGTTTAGAAATGGTTCACATATTAAAAACAAGAAAAATCTTATTCATGTTTGATATTTTCCGATAAACGTTAGGTACCGTGATATCATAGAACCCTGGGGTACCAAAATATTATCTTACAATTTGATTTTTAATGTTTAGGGTTATTACTATGCCAGATCACGGTTGGTTGATAACCTAATCACATTCAGCCGTCACATCCTTTTTCCTAAAATTGGTTTGACTCCAGACCGTCCTATTTGAAAGACCCTGTCTGAGGAATGCGGCCCACCTCGACCAAATTGCATCAATGGCCTTGTTGCCATTATTTTTACTGTTTTTTATTTCTCAAAAATTTTTAATTTCTTTTTTTTAACATTTTTCTTTTTTTCACAAGACATATCATTAACTGATAAAGCCAGACCACGGATCTTAAGTACATATAAATCCGTGGTCATACATGTTACAGTTAAAAAAATGTAGCTAACTTCAAGTTCAGCAATCGTTTCTCCATGTTATTCTTTCAAGATTTCTCCAATGTTATTCTTTAATTCAAGATATGTGAAAAATTGCATACCATATGAAAAAAGACAATCTTTCAATTAATAAACTAACCTATGGTGGATAAGTATTTACTTACACAAACAGACAAACATAAAAATCAAAATATTGAATATTGCATCTGTATCTTACAGGCGCTTTTGAAACGTTTGCATTGCAATTCGAACCAAGAATATTTCGAACCAATGGCATTCGGTCAAAACACTTTCAACCCATGTTCGAGAACGGAAATAACAATTCAAATATCTCAAAATGAATAATAAAGTTATTCGGAAAATCATAGCATATCTCCACGGATTTATATTACATCCGTGATATCTCTCACAATTTGTTTCACAAAAATTTGAACATTTTTCTAAAGAACTGCATGTTAAACAAAATATTTATACAATATTTTCATGTAACAAAAAAGTGGTTTTTTACCATAAGTACTATACTTGTTCATCATTAATGGTGTATAAGTTTAGTGGTGTAGGTCTTTCTTTGCCACGTTACTTTTGACACATTATTCATTCATTCATTCATTCATTCATTCATTTTCATTCATTCATTCATTCATTCATTCATTCATTCATTCATTCATTCATTCATTCATTCATTCATTCATTCATTTGAAATCTTCTTTCTTCTTCTTCCAATATATATATATATATATATATACTTGCCACCTTCAACTAACTGAAGTTTACTGCCAGGTTAATGCGCAAGAGGGAAAGAAAAAGTAAAATAGTGATGAATATATACAGTGCAGGTTAATTCATTCATTCATTCATTCATTGGTAATACGGCAACAAGGAGCTTTATTGCAAATAATTATAAAAGTCTCAGGCGCCAAACAGAAATAGTAAACGGCTCGATTCAAATAAGTTTTTTTCTTCTTTATATACATATCAAACACGATTAAATACAACTCAGTTAAAAGTTGACGCGGCAGCAGCGATTCAAAACATTGAATAAAAAAAGAGAGAAAAAAATGTAATACTAAATTTCAATGGCATTTACCTTATATGAATGAATGAATGACTGAATGAACGAACGAACAAACGAATGAATAAATCTCGATCGATCGAAATTATCATATTATCATCATCATCATCATTATTATTAGATCTATTATTATCATTATTATTATTATTAAATATTTTATTATTAGATTCATCATCATCATCATCGTCATCATCATCACCACCACCACCACCACCACCACCACATCATCATCATCATCATCAATCACCATCATCATCATGATATAATCATCATCATAATCATCATCATCATCATTATTATTATTATTATTATTATTATTATTATTATCATCATTATTATTTTTATTATTATTATTATTATTATTATTATTATTATTATTATTATTATTATTATTATTATTATTATTATTATTTTGATAATGATGACGCAGGTGGAGAAGATTTTTATATGTATGATGGTCATATATGATTCGTGTGATGGGGTCGGGTTTTTAATGTTTTTGTTATGTTACAAATGAAATGATGATGGTGATGTGGGTGACGATGATTTTTGATGATGATAGAGGTGATCTTTCATGGTTATGATAATGATGACGCTGAAAGAGATGATAATTTTGATGATAATGGATTTGATGATGATTTGAATAATGATTATGATGATAATTGTGATGATGATGGTGATTGTGATGATATTATTGATGTTAATTATAATTATGATCACGATGATGACGGAGGTAATGATGCTTTTGATGAAGATGATGATAAACTTAGGTGATGGTAATGTTATTGTAGAAATTACTATTGATATTACTTTTTCACAGCCAATTGTTTATATTATATTGTTTATTTGTGTGTTTTGCCATCAAACGTTATGTTATCGCAGTGTTAGATTTGCACGAAATTCTCGTTTTTTTCCGCACGGTTTTCATAATCTATTTTGCTATAGATTGTGTAAGTGTTGAACTTATACTGTTATATATATCAGATTTATAGTTTAGCCGAAAAAATGGAATATACACGTGAGGTGAGTTTATTTTAATGCACCAGTTCAGAGATTTTTAAAAATAAAATAATTGAAATAACGTCATCAATTTTGGCAGCTTTGTTTGTTTGTTTGTTTCATTTTATGCCTTTTCCCAACAGTATTTCAGTCCTATAGGCGGGTAGTTTCCTAACCATCGTTCCTGGAGAGTTACACCAGTACTAGACTACATTCCTCCGTGCTACCAAAGCATCTCCCGGGGATCGAACCCACGCCAGGGAGGTAAATTGATTAGAAGTCATCGACTCTATCCCCTCGACCACGGAGGCGGTCTAATTTTGGCTGCATTGACCCGGCAGTGTAGGGACTGACAGAAAATGAAAATTCTCTATTAGGTGTCCGGAAGGTGACAATTGACTGATATTTCAGTTTACATTATTTAACGATGTTTAAATTAAAATAATGATTTTTTTCTGAACAAGTTTAAAAATTGTACATTTATGAACCTGACGGTAATAATGCACCAGAAAAAATGTAACCCCACTTTACTACTGTATATATAGGGGACGTCAGTGTCTTTTAAATACACTTAAAAGACCCTCATGATATTAGATATTTGATAAATAATTCCTTGGAAAATGCCGCGCTCGGGGCGGCCAGACTGGAAAATCTCCGCGAAAAATAAACACCCTGCACCGCAAGTTGTGGTTCAATGTAACTTGTGTCTATGAAATAAATGAACGGAATTCATATCGCAATAGGACAAAGTACGGGTTAATAATTTCTAAATGTAAGATCGAGACTGCGTAGGTCCGTGTTTTTACCTTATTCATAGTTTCAATATTAATTATTGAATTGTTTGATTATTTTCTATGTTGTTCGATTGTTTTTATGTTGTTTATTTTGTTAAATATGTTTTGCACTTATTTTTGTAAAATCCATACTCTTTTTTACTCTTTTTGAATAAAAGAATTAATATGAGCCGCGTCACGACAAAACCAACATAGTGTGTTTGCGACCAGCATGGTTCCAAACAAGCCTGCGCATCCGCGCAGTTTGATCAGGATCCATGCTGTTCGCTTACAGACCCTGTAAGAAGTAAAGAAACTGAACTGATCAATCTGGGCGGATGCGCTGGCTGGTCTGGATCCATGCTGGTCGCAAACCCCATTATGTTGGTTTTGTCATGGCGCGGCTCATATGTAAAATTCGTTCAGACTAAAATTCAATAAATATCATTTCAATGCCGTAAAAGACAATATAAATCGAGATAAAAAAGTGTTTTTAAGTTGTTTAACATCTGTGTAGACAATTATACAAGCAGCCATTACCAGTGAAATACAAATGTATACTGCAAAAATAAAGAGTAGGTCTAAAACAATGTCAACAGTAGCCCTGAATCGAACCACATACGTCCCATATTATTAAGCAGTCACTTAACCGACTGTGTTATTATTATTATTATTATTATTATTATTATATTATTATTATTATTATTATTATTATTATTATTATTATTCTTATTATTTCTATTCGTTGTTGTTTTTGTAGTTTGTTGTTGTTGCTGATTTTTTTTTTTTTTTTTTTTTTTTTTTGGTGATATTGAACGCTTTTTAAAATTGCAAAAAAACTGTATGCGTAAATTATAATTAGTTCTGCCTAAAAATATTCAAAAATAAATACACTATGAATACTATTACTGGAAATTTGTAACCCGAATATCTGAAATTGTCAATGTTCATTTGGTCTCAAATGATTTATTTTCCTGTCACAGTAAATAAATTTTTATTACTGTATTTATGAACCATATATCTTCATTTATATAAACGCACTAACACATATAGAAACACGTCTACTTCCTGTATTCGAAAGGAAAATAATTGTTAACCCAAGAAAGATACAGTGACGGGAAGTAACAAGTGGTTGTAGTAACAAGTGGTTGTAATCGCAAGACATTGTACACATTGAATTGCAAAAGAGTTTAGAATAAAGTTAAAACAAACGGCCGTTTTAAAGATACGCACAAAATAAAGGGAAGCAAATTCAGATAATTGTTGTTTAATTATTGTTACAGTTATTTCCCTTGTACGAGTTATTTTATTGAAATGGCTATATAGTCTTCATTGAACGCAGCACAACAAATGCTGAAAGTTACATTTGTACAAACATTAAATCTATACTATTCGTTCATTCATTCATTCATTCATTCATTCATTCATTCATTCATTCATTCATTCATTCATTCATTCATTTTATTTATTTATTTATTTATTTATTTATTTATTTATTTATTTATTTATTTATTTATTTATTTATTTATTTTGGGTTGGTTAGGGAGGGGATGGGGTGAACAGTGAATGTCATGTAACTGTAAGAATGTCAGACGATAATCAGGAAAACTAGCATTTAAGTTAATGCTCGGAGCATATTTGTCTAGAGTTGCAGGGCTTGCACGTGTTATTTGTTGTGTTATACAGAGACCACCGCGCTGTTTTTATTGCGGAAGTCGGCTGTTACATGATCTGATTCGAAAAGTTAATATAAACATTTTTAAGAGCGTTAATATTTCGTGCCTGAAATAATGCACGGAAGGGCACCTGAGGTCTTCCTCCACCAGTAAAGCTGGAACGTCGCGATATGACCTATACTGTGTCGATGTGACGTAAAACCCAAAACAAAACAAACAAAAATTCATTTGAATGACATGGTATGATATTCCATGTATATTTATTAAATTTCAAAAGAAACACATAGTAAACATGCCAAAATAAAAAAGAAAATTGAAAATTATTCTAATATCGTATGCCCAACATGGCAGCATTGTCCAATATTTTGCATAATATTGGGTTATATCTATTTATTCATTTATAAAATGATTGATTGTATACCACGAAACTCCTGGGTTTGTAACCTTTTGTGAATATTATTATTATTATTATTATTTATTCGCTATTGGACAGTCTCCGCGTATTCGTAAGTGATGAGTTGTGGTACTGTACCAAAACTCCTTATGAGACGGTTCATTTCACCTCGAACAGCTTCTAAGCTTCTATTACATTTAGGTCTAGAGATTTTTGGTGATATTTCATTACGTTGATGTTGTTTATAAATGTTCAGAATGAATGTTGGCGCCGTGCTTTTAAGACATCTTGAAGAAACTGCAATC